TATATATATTCTACGCCTTGTACATAGTCGCCAGTTTCTATCGTACAGGCTTGTAAGCAAACATGAGTTGCATCATCAATATAAAAAGCATTATATTGTTAGGATTACGATTCATGCTAGTGATGTGCCAGAGACAATTTCGGAGGTGGATTTGACAATGGCAACTGTTGCAAGCGGTGCCCGCCAGAAGGGCGTGTGCTTTAGTACTCTATCGGCACCAACGTATGTATTATTTTAACTCTTTCTTGTTATTCTCTACAGCTCTCCAGTGAGGACAGCGATGAGATAGTAAAAACAAAATATGCGGATGATCCGAAGCATCCCGCGTGGAATGAAGTTCTTAATTAGTAAGTGACCCGCAAAGCCTCATAGAGCTGCTCGTGGCCGTCTATAAAGATATTGTCATGGCCTCCAGGTCCGTTCCTATTTGTTTGTAGGTTGATTTGTGGTTAAAGGATCCGAAAGTTCTATAATTTGACGCCTTGTATTCCGGACTTTTTGTGGAACCAGCAAACATTGAACTGGGCCATAGTTAATCTCTCCACTATCGACTTTCTATTTCTCTTCCGTCTGTAAATGGTAAACATCTGACTAACATGCAAATACTGTCACTCTCTCTGTCGAAAAATAACAAGGGCTCGGGCTGTGTTCATATTTTCAAAAATAATGTGTATGTGTATGCTAAAAAATGTTACTGTGACCCGTTTCTTGTAGATATATCAGTGTGACAGGTGTACCTTTAAATACGATACGATTCGACAAGATAGGTAAGGACGTCAGAGAAGGTTATCGTCTGACAACATATAAGAGTAGGCATGGACACGACAAACGAATGTATGTAAAGTGTTCACTTTACAGTCAATTTTATCCACAGCCCCATTTATACCACGGATGACATCGAGCTTTGTGCAACGCTCATGGTGGTCAAGACTGACACACGCACGAAACAGTCAAGTGAAGTGAAGGTGGGTAGCATCATGCTGAATATCACACCTTTGGCTCAGGCGAGCTCTCAGGCCGAGGCTCAGCCCATGTGGAAATACTTGCACGATATGGCCGGCAACCACAGACAGATGCTGAAGCGAAATTGTGAGTGACCAATTTTTAGTCAAATTACGCTGCTTTCTCCGATCAAATTCTCGCATACAAAAAAAACTCCGTTTGAACTGATATACTTAGGCGCTGCAGGAACAGTATACAAACGGCGTGCGTCTTAGGATCGCGTGCATTACATCGTTGCACCTAAAGTATATAATGCTGTTGTGAGTAGAGCACTGTTAATGACTTGCTCGATTTCATCGACCCACTGATGTACCTGGAATGCTCAACGCACATTTAGACACCGCTCTGAACGCCAAGGTAACCAGCTCAGTCACTCTCATTAGGCTATCTCAACGTGGACATGTGTATTTTGCGCGCATACTCATACTCGTGTGTGTCCAAATTGCACTAGGTATATTGCAACAAAAAAAAACCCTCAGCTATCCATGCATTTGTTCCGTGCAGCACACGCCACTCTGAGAAGGGATGCGACGAAAGCCGGACAGCTTTGTCTGCAAGTCAGTTGCGACTACTCCAAATTCTACAAGAGGTATGTCAAGGATCCATTCACTATGATAATTTTAACATACGAGTATTTTGGAGAAAATGTGTACATTCGATCGGACAATTAATTTAGACTACCACTGCGACCGAATCTCGTGATGGTACCAGGCTACACGGAGAGCGGAATGGCAGTCAAATTTTAGACAGCTCCCCACTTGCATGGATTTCGAACTTATTTGACACGCCCTGCATATTTGATATTGACTCAAAGCTATCTGATACAACATCATGTCACCCCAACTTTTATTGACAGACTGACACTGAAGAAGACGAAGAAGATGCATTCTGATGGGGCTTCGATAGCACGTCGCAATAGTGCTAGTGGTTTGCCCCCCCCTCGCCCCGCGCGTCAAGGGATCGGTATGTATTGAGCAGTGGTCTGCATAGTGCTGGCTATGGGAAGCTTGTATGATGTGCCAAGCATGTGTGCTCTGTTTTTGGATTATATATACTGTGGCTTAGAGTTTGCTCTTCGTAGCGAGCTGCTACAGTTGCACATTATCCCTACAATCTTCCTGATGACGAGCCTTTTGCATCTTCCGACCGGCTTGTGCATACAGCTATTGACCCCAGCGGCTTCATTCCCTTAAGAGACTCGCCGTCGGATGTGTCACAGACACTCGAGGAAGAGGATGAAGAAGGTGACGACGACGATGATGATCTGGATGACACGTACAAGAATGTGTCAGACGCAGTATTGCAGAAGAAACAGCAGGCCATGACTACGACATGGAAGATGAAGCAGCAGATCAAGAAGATCAATGAGGATATTGAGAACTGCCCCGCCGAGAAGGTTGCAACAAAGAATGATCTGGTGACTCAGAGAGATGAGCTGCTGACGAATATCAAGAATATCGAGCAGGCGTTGGGTGTGGAGGTAACTGAGGACCAGTTCAGGAAGAAAGCGGCGATGAAGCGCGAGGTCGACGCACTCAGAAACGGGCCAGGTTCGCCAAAAGCTCCGGTAACAACGACTCGGGTGAGTTGGAACTTATGTTGTTCCCTATTGATATATTCATAATCGTGCCTGCAAAGTCAACTCAGTAGACAAGTGACGTGTTATGGAAAGCGACTGTGTAAAATGCAGTGGTCTCTGTTTTCCTTGTGTTTTAAAACATTCTGTTCGGTGGAGGTATTGCAAGGTCGTTTTTGTATTGGCTCACCTACCGTTTACGTGACTTTATGGGACAAAATCCTACAACGACACTCGTAACTTAATTCTAATAGAGACGCTCTAGTTGATCCTTCATGAGGATGCGTTTTGTGCTTGCCATTCACCTTTAGAGATGTCAAATTATTGGATTGTGCGAAGCGAAATTCAGTTAGCCTATCCACGCATATGCAACGTTAAACAATGCAGTATGTCCCTCTATTCATTGCTATATATCCTCCAAAACAGTCCACGCTAACAGGAAAGAGAGCCATCTTCGAAAGAAACTCAGCTATGAGACGAACAGTCTCAGGCAAGCCCCCATCCGATGCACCACCTGGCAGATCCAGCATGAAGTCAAACTTGAGTCCCACGACGGAACAATCGGGCGGAGAGACCAGGCATACGACATCTCGACATCAAGTACCAGAGCGTGCGGCTCTAGACGACCACGCTTTGAGCACACGCATAAGCGAGAAGGTGCACGCGTCGATAATGGAGGCGCTCAAGCCACAGTTCGCCAAACTGAGTGCCGTGGAGATCAATCTGGAGACGCTTATCACCCAGCTCACATCTCTGTCTGTGGCCAACAACGCGGCTGCCAATCACTTGCGCACCCTCTCCATCCAGGGCTCACAAACGCCCCTCACCGCAACCGCGTCCTCGGATTCGCAGGACAGCCGGGCCTTTTCCCCGGCCCCACCTGCGATCATTGCACCTGAACCGGCCCCCAAAGCAGACCCAACACAGGCACCGCCACCTACCGCGGGTGCACCCCCACCACCCCCACCCCCCCCTCCCCCCCCATCGATGGAATCTGATACACCCACAGCAGGTGGTCCACCCCCACCCCCACCTCCA